AGCCATACCTGTCACACACCCAGTTTAAGAGCAGTGTTTTTCTTCTTGTAATCAAGAGCGCTTGTCCTCCTAATTTAAAAAAATTAAGGAGCACCTTCTGATCAATAATCAAACGTTTTGATAATAAATTATCCTTCCTAATATGAGGTGAAGGGATTTACAGGGGCATTTTCTTTTTACCTTTGCAATGGCATCATTCTCATCGGTCAAATTCAAAAATTTATGTTTATAAGCTTTTTAAAATTTCTATTTAAAACAATATAATAAGAAGTAGAATAAGACAAATAAGTTACCAATCATGAAATTGGTATTAATGAAAAATTAATTTGTACTACAGAGGTGGCACAAAAATAACACAAAAGTGGCTTGTAGGTACATTTTCAGACATTCAATGAGGCTCAGAGGTGGCATAAGTGCAATTAAATTCATAAATTCATGTGGAGATTAATGTTTTAAATAGAAAATTTTGAATACAGAAATATTAAATGATTTAAATAACTGCAATTATACCTAAAAATGAAACTGAAATCACCAGCAGGTGGCGGAAAATCACTGATTTTATCACTGAATCATTCATTCAATTGATTCGTGTGAACGGCTGATTCACTCGGGAATGAAGCAAGTGACTGTCTTTATGAATGGGTAATCATGAATCACTGACTCACTAGATTCGTTCAAAAACGCACTTTCATTCGCTTGTAGGTACATTTTCAGACATTCAATGAGGCTCAGAGGTGGCATAAGTGCAATTAAATTCATAAATTCATGTGGAGATTAATGTTTTAAATAGAAAATTTTGAATACAGAAATATTAAATGATTTAAATAACTGCAATTATACCTAAAAATGAAACTGAAATCACCAGCAGGTGGCGGAAAATCACTGATTTTATCACTGAATCATTCATTCAATTGATTCGTGTGAACGGCTGATTCACTCGGGAATGAAGCAAGTGACTGTCTTTATGAATGGGTAATAATGAATCACTGACTCACTAGATTCATTCAAAAACGCACTTTCATTCATGAATGAAACACTGCTTTGTTTGCTTTTAGAGATGTGAAGCTGCTCAGCTGTCACTATATGTGGAACTATTTTCTTTGATGAAATAGAGCAAAATCAGGAAGTACTTGTTTATTGCACTGTTGTATTAAATCAGTATCACATTTGCAAACTCCTTTAATAATTATTAAAAGCTGTCACTCTCCTTATCGCGAGTGAGTTCTCAAGACTCAAAAGCACGTGCAAATGATAAATTCCATCATCTGTCATCGCGTTATAAGCGCGGAACCTGCGTGAATGAGTAGAATTATTATGAATAGCCACAATCCTGCGCCTGAAATTCAAGACCTGCTCTGTGTTCTCTGCTAATAACCCGACTGTGAATGATGCGAACGGCGTTATGTTGTCAGTGAGAAGCTGCAGCCGTGGCGGGGAGGATTTTTGGTGCGCGGGTGTTCTGACAAATAATGCTACCTATCAGATTATGCTACCAACAAATCGTCAGAACAACTACAATGTGCTACATGTTTCTTTTCCCCTCATTTTTTCCAACTGACAGAAATCTGTCGTAGCGACAGAAAACTTTCATCCCTGAGTAGTATCATGTACATCATACTGCACCACAGTAATATATTTCTGTTAATTTCTTTATGCTAACCCGAACTTATATTTTGACGGGTTGCCATGAGGAACTTGTTTCTGTTTCTGTAGGTCTATGTAAATGATATGAAGATAGTTTTACTCCAATGAAACTGTCAAATGCTCATGAAGTGAGGAGTCAGAGCAGTTCTGGAGATGTTGTTCATGTATTTATGTCCTCATGTAGTGAGACGACAGAAGCTGAAATCAGCGCGAGTGTCGCACACTTTGTGTAGAAAACAAAACCGCGCGTCTGTGCAATTTACATTCACAGAGATACGCAGAACATGCTGGATTCATATTTAAATAGTATTTTTGCGGCTTAATATTTACAGATACTAGTCCATATTGCGACTCTATTTAAGTATACTGACCTACTTTTGATTAATTCATCCAAACTTGGACAAATTCCGTGACATTCCGCGTCATACAGTAAATTCCATTTATATGACTGGATTTCGCGATTCCGTCCGCGTTTTCCGCATCGCGGAAATCATAGATAATATTGAGGTGTTTTGCAACTTCAGTGTAACGTTAGTGGATTGGGATCTATTGCAACTTAAGCAACGTCTGCTGCTGCCTTACCTTTGAGAGACAACTGATGCGTGATCACTGAAGCAGCTCCAGTTAGCAAGCGCTTTTGGAGTGAGAGTGAATTCTGCATTGATTGGTAGTACTCGTGACTCCCAACAAATCAGATGAGCAGTGGGCGGAGACTGCTTTAGGCCACAGAGAGGTGTGTTCTGACAGGCTGCATCAGAGCCAAATAGCGCGTTTCAAAATTAAGTTATTTTATCGGCGAATTGGTTTTGAAAATGACCGATACTGATAATCATAAAAATGCTTAATATCGGCGCCGATAATCGTTCGACCCCTAGATCACACCAGAGAGTGAAACATAAATGAAAGATAGACAGAACGTAATCTAGTTGGATTGGATAGGAATTGTAAGTAATTTAACAATTGTAATCCGTATTCTGATATATTATGAAGGGCCAAATTAGATTAATTAACAATGAAATTAAATATGAATAACAATGTATTAATCCTGAGTATAAAGTTGTAATTCTAAATATATAATATTTTTAATTTATTTTATTTTTTTTTAAATCTGAATATACATTCAAAAGTCAGAAAATTTAAATGCAAATCTTTTTTTCTGAACTTACGTAGTTAAAGGTAACAATGCAGATGTAGAACTATATTCATATATTTGGATATATTATAAATAATATATTATTATTATTATACATTTAGATTTATTCCGATTTAAAAATAAATCAAATTTACATTCAAGTACTTTTTTGTTTTAAGCATACATTTACGTGTAAATAAATAAATATTAATAAGAATGATAATAATAATATTATTAAACAGTATTATCATGGTACATTTCCAAATATCACTTTACCAAAAAATGTACCATGGTTTTACAGGCATGTTTATAAAAACAACTTTGCTTCAGTATTATATTAAAAAGAGACGAAAATAAGTATTCTCGTACTATTAAGAGAGCAATAAAGAGAACAGAGACACATAATGTAGTGTTATTGAGGTAGAAAGCTATCAGAGAACCCTCATTAAGTTTTAATGTTTTGTGAGGGTAACCCTGCTTTCAGGACACACAGTGAGATGCTGAGAAGCACAGAGGGCACACAGTGATCTTTCCGGTGTGTTCCTGTGGAGGAGAACGGGGCTGGAGCACCACCCTTCTCCTCTAATGCACCTCTGAATACGATCTCCAGATAAGCCTTCACTCATTTCATTTGGCAGAGTGTGGAGTCTGGGATGACATGGGAACTGCTCTCACTTCCATTACCCATGATTACATCTGCCATTCGGGGTCACTGGAGACCTTCTTCCAATGGAAGAGTGGATGACAGATGCCACAAGAGAGCATGTGCATGTGAGTGTGGGTTTGTGTAAATGCCTCACCTGAGTGTGGTGGCTGTCCATGTGCCTGTGTAATGCCGAGCTGCTGGATGCATTTGACTTTGGATGTTCCTCGTCTTCCAATGTCCCTATTGAGAGAAAAATATCAGAATGTTAAATGCAACATTCTTCATGGATGTTCTGGAATGTGTTGCTTTGTTGTGCACTGTAATCACATAATGCGAACACTGTATGGAAATTCCTACTTTTTTCTCTACATACAGTATGTCTGTTATTCAGCATACACCACTTGTATTCAAACTTTGTTTTGTATAGAATTTCATCCTTAGGTTTATGATTTATATGTTTGTTTTAGTTTTGTTTTTGAAATTATGTATGAAAAGTATGCTTTGGCTGCTTTCCAAGAATTAAAGTTTAAAATAGATCTGAATATATAAGTGTAAACCATGAATATATAGATGAACTCTGAAGTCTGAAAATGCTAATCTGAATCTATAGTTATGTATTGAATATAGAGAATACATATATTTATCTGGCAAGACGTGCATAAAGTCTGTATAAATTCCTATATATGTGATTTTACCTCAATTCGTTCATGTGACTGAATAGTTTTCATGAAAACTGGTTTATTTGCAAATTATTTTTGTAATATTTTTTTATTAACATGAGAACAAGGGTATACATAAATTATAATATTTAATTTGTTAATTTAATATTGTTATTAAAAGTAATTATTAATACATAAAACTATTATGATTACCTATTTTAGTATTATTAATAATAAAATAATATGGACATTTAAATGGAAAGTAGCTACTGCCCGAATGTTTAGCAACAAGGATATCATTGCAGTTTCGATGCCCATGCATAACAGATATGCCTAAAACCTGTGCTTACATACAACTTTAACAAGATTCTTTTGCGGTCTTGCAAGCACTGGCATTCCCTTGGTTCATATACCATTATCTTGTATAGAAGTAATGTATACTCTGCCAGAGCGGGAAAAACGCGGATCATGTGAATA